CCTTTATATTCCCGCTTGGTTCATTCAAATCGGTTCATTCATTTAGGAGAAATAAAATTTTGTTTAAAAAGTTGCAAAAAAATCACGAATTCTGACCCAATTAGTTGAAATCCTAATTTTTAGTTATTTTTACCAAAACTTTACTAAAAAAAATTAGATTTCGTAAAAATACTCGAAAAAAATTTTTTTATATTAATTATTTTTAGTACGAGGTAGGGGAGTATAGTCAAACTCGGACCACCTTTTGACTTTTGTTTGTAACTTTTTTTAAAAAATGAATTTGGTCAATTGAAGTATATTGTTAGAAAGTCTTGTTTAATAGGAACATTTTTTCTGTACAAAGTAAAATGATTGGTTATAAAATGAAAAAGTTATAAAGATTTAAAAAAAAAATTCTAAGTCCAGGTTGTCCCTTACAGTCAAGGTCGGACCATGTTTGAAATTCAAAGGGCATTACCATTAAAAAATAAAATAACACTTTTAGCGTTACGAAAAATGTATCCTTTATTGTTTACATGATCCCCAAGTTTTGAACGTTCAAATGAACGAAATATTTTTTATTGAAGATATTTTAATAAATTACTAATCAAAAATAAATTTAAAAACTGAAATATTTACGTTTAGCAACTCAGTAATTAATTTTTTGGATAGTAACGCAAAATAATTTCAATAAAAATTTAATTTGGAGAATCAATAAATAACTTTCGTTCATTTGAACGTTCAGAACTTTAGGATCTTTTGTTTACAACTTGTAAAAAGTTACAAATACAAGAAACAAAAAAGTAAAACATTATTGTTACAAAAAAAAGTAACGCGTAACAGTTTAAACTAACTTAATGAAATAATTAACAAAATTTACAGGATTCAATATTATTTATCTAATATATTTGTCAAAATGTGTGAGTATGTGTGTGTACCTATATTTTCTTGTATATTTATTAAAAAAGTATCTGTCTAATTCATGTATTATAAATGGTGGTCCGACCTTGACAAAATGCACCATTGTCGAATTGTTCTAACTAAAAAGAGATACGTTTCCGGATTCGATTTTTCACTTTACTTTTTCTTCAATCATGAATCCAACAATACTTCTGCATGCTTGCCTTGACGATTCCATGTTTTTTATATTTTATTAATGGTTTTTCACATGATGCACAAAACTTCTTTTGAGCTTTTTTTGTACCGAGGTCATAAAAAACACTACATTTAATTCTCCAAAAAAGGAATATAACAAAAAGTTAGGTGTGACTAAGCAAGCTTTGCCAAGCATGCGCGCAGGTGGCACTAGTGAACTTGTACAAAAAATCGCGAATGCCCTACCTTGACAGTGGTCCAACCTCGACTATACTCCCTATAGATATGTAATTATTAGTAAATATATTTTTAAGCTAATATTCTGTACTGATTTTTATTCGTAAAAAGTATAAAAATATATTACTTAATTTATTTTTGCAATAAAATTCCTAATAATTTTTATTTTTTAATTTTACACTAATTTTCATATTTAAAAATTGGTTCTTTTAATTTAATAATTATTAGTTAAATAATTAGATTAATTTAATAATTAAAGAGAATAAAGAAACGAGAAAAAACATTTTTTGAGTATATTGGCTAAAATGAATTTTAGTTGAAAAATTAAAATTCTCGAATGTTCAGAATACTTGAGAAATTTCTAAAATTTGTGTAATAGTGCAAATTAAAATCTCTTCTCTCTGTCTCACTTTATTTTACAAATAGATTTAAATTATTTTGATTGTATATAAATAAGTTTTGTTTTGCCCATTTGCTGATATTTCCACCTACTTAGATAAGAGAGTTCTTGCATTTCTCATAGTCACGTTTATTTAAACGAGAATGCATATGGCTCTATTCTTCGCCAATATTCTTACAAAACTATACGTGTCCAAGCATTTGCATTTGTATATATACACCGACTTTTATATAAACGTCATTTATAGCAAAAAAAGGACTGCAACTGAATATTGCGCATGTTTTTGTCACCTATACAAGCAAAAGTGAAAAAAAACGTGAGAAAAATATTTTCATTTCTATATTTTTGCTCAAAATTTTGAAAAAAATTTTATTTTCGAGTTTATACTCTTAATACTTATACTTTTAATCTTTGAGAAAATAAAACGTTTCAATAACAACAACAATAAACATTGAACAAAACAATTTGATTCAGATAACTAATAAAGAAAAGTAAACCAAAAAAATTTATAGACTCTTTGATAAATATTTCCACGAAAAAGAAAATTATGATCAATTTGAAAAATCCCTGGAAATCTCGTTCAATTTGGATACACATAATAAAGAGTGAAAATTATAAAAACTAATATCGCAGCGCAAATGAATCTTTTCTGAATATTTGCATTTCATCATCAAGTTTAAAATTTTCAATTATAAACCCCGAGACGGAAAATCAATTTTTAATCGTTAAAATATAACTGGGTTATGTTTTATTGTACAAATTAAAAAAAGAAGTTTCACATAATTATATGGACTTTTAATTTGATATGAACATTTCAGTTTGGAAATAAAAATCTTTCTTGAAAAACACAGAGAGAAAGGGAGAGAGAGAGAGAATAATATTAAATCTGACCTAGAGGGAAAATGCTCGAATTAAACGTTTTCCAGTTTAAAGAGCAAATGTCCTACTTTTTTTCTTTTCCCTGCTTTAGGAAAATTACAAACGTTTCAATGTTTGAAGACAAGTATTCTCAAAAATAAGGAAAAAAATTCTTTTGAGAAGAAATTTTTTTTGTTATAAATATAGTTTTTGGATATTAGTTAAGACCACTTTTTAAAAATCAATCTTACTTTTAGTTCACACTTTTGACTGAATTTCTGTCTTGAGAAAAAAAAATCTTTTATCGCAAATACAGTGTATTAAATATTATTACGCCTTTGTCGACATGTTAACGCATTGGCTTTATCAGCGCCAAAATGTTCAAGGATTCGAAACAGGCTGTGTGTATATTATCGCCACGTCGAATAATGAAAACGTTTTTCCTAGCATTGACCATGGCATATAATGCAACAGTAGACGACAACAAGACACAGACGGTTTCGTGTACTTCAGTAATTTATTAATTAAGACGAATTTCTATTAATTTATTAATTTCAATTTCATGAAAACCATTAATTTGGTATAATCAAAATTATTTTTCTTCGAACCAAATAAAGTGAAAAACGAATCTTTCTTCTTTGAATTAAAAGTGATTTCCACCAAATTTAATTTCAGTAGTATTAAAAAAATTTTTTAATCATTTTACTACAAAAGAAAATTATCTTTCTTGGCACCAAATAGTGAAAAGCAAATTTTTCTCTAAAGTGATTACTATCAATTTAATTTCAATATCATTAAAAACTAAACAACTTTAAATACAAAATGATAGATTTAAACAGAAAATTTTTTTTCCATTCAAATAGTGAAGAACAAATTTTTTTTCTTTAAAGTGATTTTTATCAATTTCGATGTCATTGAAAGAAGTAATATTTCATTTTATAAAATAAAATTTTTTAAAATTAAGAAATAAATTTTCTTTGAATCAAATATATTAGTGAAAAACAAAATTTAAATTTAAAGTGATCGATAAAAAAATCATGTCCAAAAAGACAGCCCATGTAGGAGTGAAAGATTCAGTTTTTGAACTTCGTTCGCGAATGTCGCGTTTACTGTCCATTGTGGAAATTACATCACCGAATTATTCTCCGGTATATAGGAAAAATGCACCTTCATTATTTTTTCAATTCACCTGACCTATTTTACAACAACAACAACAAAAATAATCTTTAAATCTGACTTTTCAAAGGCAAAAATTCTGTAATTCTTTTCTACTTTTATCTCCATTACAAACGAATTAGAAAAAACAATGGGAAAAATTTATTAAAGACAATAAAAATAAATGAAAAGTAAAAAAACAATAGAAGATAGAATTTTTATTAATAAATATTAATAAAAAGTAAACATTAATGAATATTAATAAAAAATAAATATTAATAAAAAATAAATATTAATAAAAGATAAAAATAAATGAAAAGTGAAAATTAATAAAAAATTAAAATAAACAAAAACAGTAAAAATTGAGAAAAGATGAAAATAAATAAAAATAATAAAAGAAGCTTTTAGTTTTATTGCAAGTGTAGAAAAACTTAAAAAACTTAATTTTAACTTGAAGAATTTTTCACTTTTGTTAACTTTTTCTTTACTTTTTTCTTTATACATTTTTGCGTGAAAATAGCTTAAAAATGTACGTACATAATTAATATTCTTAATTCTTTCTTTTTCACAAAATTAAAATTGCGCATAAGTAGAAAACCAGTAGTAAATAAATTGCAAAAAAAAAAAAAAAATTAATGAGAGAGATTTGAATTTACTTGTTAAACCGATTACATCTTTTATATTGAACTCTTTTCCTCTGATGTCATAATTCTAAATGTAGCTTCCTCCTATTTACAGCGAATTTATGAATAAATAAATATGATTGATTTTTGCAATAAATATTTTTAAATATTCATTATTTAATTATAGTCATAATAATTAGTACAATTATAATTTTTTTACGACAATAGAAATAAAAATAATATAATTAAATAAAGAAAATTATTATTTTCTGTTTTACGATTTGTCTTCTAAAAACCTAATTGCTTTCTGCAAAAACTAATACTTTCTGATTTCTTTCTGCTGAACTTACCACAGCAAGTATTTAAGTTTTTTTTCTATTACACAAAGAAAGTAAAATTATCAATTAAAAAAAATAAGTCGAAAAAAATTGAAAATTAAATAAAGAAAAATATTATTTTCTGTTTTACGATTTGTCTTCTAAAAACCTAATTGCTTTCTGCAAAACCTAATACTTTCTGATTTCTTTCTGCTAAACTTACAACAGAAAGTATTCAGGTTTTTTTCCTATTACACAAAGAAAGTAAAATTATCAATTAAAAAAAACTAATTGAATGAATTAAAATGAATTTCTACAAACGATATTAAATTACAGATGGCGGGGCAAGATCCAAAATGGCAGAAGGACGCGTCGGACCAAAATTTCGATTATATGTTCAAATTACTGATAATTGGTAATTCGTCAGTTGGTAAAACGTCATTTCTCTTTCGTTATGCCGACGATTCATTCACCTCGGCCTTCGTTTCCACGGTTGGAATTGACTTCAAAGTGAAAACTGTCTTCAGGAATGACAAAAGGGTTAAGCTACAAATCTGGGTCAGTATAAATTATAATGTAGCCATTAAAAAAAGAAGAAAAAAGAAAATCCTTTTCAAGTTTTTATTCTCATATTTCTTCTCAATATCACACACCGATCGAACAAGTCAATTACGCATATTGTTTCCTATTTTTAATGCAACTCCCTCATAAAATGATTTCTTTCTTTTTTTTGTTGTTGTTGACCGTGCACCATCAATATAAAATTAGTAATTTTATATTCTGCTTACAAAACTGTTTTTTGTACTATTTTATATATTTTTATGTGCCAGTATATTAATTTATCAATTACTGAATTTAATTTATTATACTAAATTAAATCGTATTTTTTTCGATTAATTAAATTAATTTTAATTAAATTAAATTACTTTTCATTTAAAAAATTAATTTATCAAAAGCCAAAAAAGGCGAAAATTCGAATGGGAGAATTTAATGATTTTCTTTGCTTTTAGGATACGGCGGGACAGGAGAGATATCGAACCATAACGACGGCCTACTATAGAGGCGCAATGGGCTTTATTTTAATGTACGATATCACTAATGAAGATTCGTTCAACTCAGTACAAGACTGGTTAACGCAAATAAAAACGTACTCGTGGGGTAATGCCCAGGTTATATTGGTAGGCAACAAGTGCGATATGGAGGACGAGAGAGTTATCAGTTTCGAGAGAGGCAAACAACTTGCCGAACAACTTGGAGTTCAATTTTTCGAAACTTCCGCTAAGGAAAATGTTAATGTTAAGGTTTGTAGAAAAAAATCTTAATAATCTTATCTTAGTACAATTTGAACCAAATTTTGAAAATTTCGTTTTTGTGGCGTAAAAAGTGGCTTTTTTTACAGAATACAAAAACGAAAGAAATGTTATTAATATCAAAAACTACAATTTTCAGGCGGTATTCGAGCAATTGGTGGATATAATATGTGACAAAATGAGTGAATCACTTGACAATGATCCAACACTAATGGCAGGTGGTGCAGGTCCTGCAAAGGGACAACGACTCACGGATCAACCAGTAAACCCCAAGGACACAAATTGCAATTGCTAAAGTACGAGGCACGCTTTCATTTGGCGTGCTTTTTGAGATGCTGGGTCCTAGCTAGTTCACCTTCTTCGTCGTTCCTTCGTTCTTCATTATTAATTACTTAATTACTTAAGTTTTCGTTCGTATTATTTTTGTGGCTGTTGCGATCATTTTTAAGACGGTTGCCCGAGCTTGACCGTCGCAAAAGAGATGGCCAACCAAACCAACAAAAAAAAATAATTATATAATAAACCCCTTAAGTTCGCGGGCGAACATTGTCGAACGGTTTTAACCACGATGCGCCTCTCTTTAAAAATCTAATTCATTTATTTATTTTTTCGTTTATTTTTGCAAACACAACACGACGTTGACATGCACAACTACCCATTAAGTCGGTAGCCACTTGAAAAAAATGAGAAAAAAAACCAAAGCTCGGGCATCCGAAAATGATGTTAAATAGGATTATGTGCCGGCTGAAGTAATAAGGAGGACGACGAAAATGCTCTTTTCGTCTCCGTACATTTAAAAAAAAAAAGTGCGATGTCAAAGTCTTCTTATTCACCCCCCTTTCTTTATATATACCGTACTCCACGCTCTTGATAATAAATTTACAGAAAAATATCTATTTTTCTCATCACGAGCGTTTTCCACATAGAAAAAAAACTCATAGATTAATGAAACTTTCCCTTATTTAAAAATAATCAAGTGACTCAAAGAGTAGTCATATTTTTTCACTTCCCTAATTCGATAAACATTTAAATATTTCAAGCGTACAAGAAATATTTGATATTCTTAAATAAAATATTCATTGTCAAAATGTACAATTAGAATTTTCAAAAAGAGAACAAAAAAAAGAATGACTTTATTTATATTACAAATTACAAATTACAAATTATAAATAAAAAATAAAAAATAAAAAAATGCAAATAATTTAGTTGTGAAAAGAAAACGAAAGTGTAATTAAAATTGTATTTAAATTTAAAAATATGAAAATGAAGAATCATTTTAGAAAAATATTTCAAATGCGCTAAATAGATGAGTGTAAATAATTGCTCGTCATGTTTTAGAGCTGTATATGCCAAAAAGAAGAAAAGAAAAGAAAAACGATAATACAAAAACGAATATCATCGTAAAAAAAGAAAATATCACGTGATATTTATATAGTAGACAAATTTTCAAACTGAATCTAAAATCTATTTCCTGTTGAACAATGTTTCAAAAATAGGAAAATGAGAGAAATGGAGAAAAACTAGTTTCTAACCAACTAAAAGAAAAAAAAGTATAAATACTGTCGACGGTTGTTAAAGTATACATTTACCAAAAAAAAGGAAAACCAAAAACAGTTATTTATTTATTTCACAGCTTTTTCTTTACGGGTAAAAATTTACTCTAGTATCAAAGGTTTCTCAAACAGTAATTTAGAAATTCAAATTTTAGAAACAATTTTCCGTTATAGTTTAGAAATAAAATTGTTAATTAAATTACAATTAAATTGATTAAAATTAATTGAAACTAAATTAATTGAATTTTTAATAATTGAAATTAAATTAACGAATGTATTATTCCTAAAGAAAAACATGTTTAATGACAATCAGTTCTGAAAGTCATTGCAGTACTTTATAACAAATTCCATTATTATTAATATTTTTATCATTATATTATTTTATTAAATATAATAAATTATGTGTTCTTATTGAAAATACGTATTCGCTAATATTTTTAATTCTCAGAGAAAATAAATCAATTAGATAAGTTGTTCAAGTTCATCAAATAGAATTTAACAGTTAACGAAAAAAAAAATTAATCATTGGAAATTTTAAGAAACGTAGAGTATAGATGTGTTGATTATAAACAATAAATTGTGAATAAAATTTATTTTATACACATTTGCATAGTGGGAAAAAAATGGTTAATGTATATTATTTCTAAGAGTTCAATTAAAAAATACGCACTCGGTAAAATTTTTGAAAACAATCTACATTTTAGAGAATTTAACCAGAAAACCTCTATATTTCCAAGTACACAGTTAAAATTTAATTAATCTCATTTTCAATTTCAAATCGTTAAAAGAATTTCTTTCTTTAATAAACGAACAACATTTAATTACATTTAGAAAATTTTCCATTAAGAGAAAAATGTTCCAAACAGTTGTTATTTTATTCTCTAAATCTGAATTTGTAAAAATTGAAATACGAATCATTAGTAAAAATATTCACTAATTTTTTAAAATATTTTTTTATATTAGGCACTATTTTGCTTTGTAGTTTTAATTATTCTACTATGGGTTTAGTAAAAAAAAAGTTAAAATTATATTACTAATTTTATTAATTATAATTTTTCTACTAAAGTTTTGGTGAAAAATGACTAAAAACTATTTATTTTTACTAATAATAATTTATTTAACTAAAGTTTTAGTGAAAAATGACTAAAAATTCACGAGAATTTTTACAAATGAGTAATTTTATTAATTATAATTTTTTGCCCCAAAGTTTTAGTGAAGAATAGCTAAAAATTAGTATTTTTACTGATTACAATTTTCTTTACTAAAGTTTTAGTGAAAAATGAGTAAAAAAATTAGTATTTTTACTGATTACAATTTTTTGAACCAAAGTTTTAGTTAAAAATACTTAAGAATTAGTATTTTTGCTAATTATAATTTTTTGTACCAAATATTTAGTGGAAAAAGGCAAGAATTTAGTATTTTCACTAATTTTAATTTCTTTTAAATTTTTAACCAAAGTTTTAGTGAATAATAATAAAATATTATTAGAAAATGACTAAAAATGATTTTTTTTACTAATTTTTAGTTTTTTTCTTATTTATACTCAAGTGAATAAAAAATAACTCAATTTTTACAAATTTAAATTTAGAATGCAAAATAGCTTTTACTATTGTTACGTACAGAATAGTTTCTACTATTGTGTTAACTATTTTGCTTTTATTGTTTTATTATTGTTTTAGGATAAATATTAGAAGATTCTTGATGTAACTATACGTGTATGCTTAAAAAAAATATGCAAAAAAAGTTATACATAACATCAGAAGCGTAAAGAAAAAAATATATATTTATCATTACCATATATTATAGAAAATTGTGATTTGTTCGCTTCTTGTGTTATATTCATATCAAAAAACAAACAAAAATTAATGTGCGTCAATTACGTCGACGAACAATGGCACTCGTGTCCACGTTAGTACTTCAGCAATGTCACACACGACGTTACCTACTATATAGGCGAGCTGCCCTCTGTACATAAATAAAATATATATTATTGACTCTGTAATGAAGTGTATGTAAGAGTTACTTATCCGTGTGAATTATTAAAAAAAAAAAAATAAAGAAAAAGGGACCTATTCTTATTTGCGGAATAGTAAACCGATAAAAGTCACAAATAGTCCGCGCCACCGTGTTGCTGCACGAACTTGTTGATAAAAGTCTAATAAAAAAAAGAACAAGTGTTTCGAATTTAATGCTTCAAATTCATTAACGCATTGGTAACATACATATATGTATATCAGGATAGTTTTTATTGCGAAACAATTGTCCATAAAAAACCTATACTGTTCAGAAGATTATAAATACGTAAAAAGGAAAAAAATAACAACAATAAACATCAATTATTACCGGACAATTTTGTCTCGATAACAATTTTACAGTGTATTTCAATCAATTTTTATCCAATTGTTATTTGGTTGAAAAAATGTTAAATATTTTCAATCCAATTTAATTTATATTTTAATTAATTAATTCAATATTAATTAATTTGAATTACAACTAATTAATTAAATATCAGTTAATTAATTAACTATCAATTGCTTAATTAAATATCAATTAATTAACTACCAATTTATTAATTAATTAACTATCAATTGGTTAATTAAATATCGATTAATTAATTAAATATTAGACAATATTCAATTCAACACTAATTTATGGAAAAAATTAAAATTTTAATTCAGCGATTAATTAACATCTGTAATATTTTAAATACTTGCTCCTAAAGTTTTGAACGTTCATATGATCGACTTTCATTATTTTTAAATTCGAATTTTATTTACAAAACATTGTTTTATTTTGTTTCTTACAGTTAAAAAATTAATTTTTAACCAAATGTTCAATTAGAATATTTTTCACTTCGGTCTAGTAATTAGTAAAAATATCGGAGCACAAAAATATATTTCGTTCATTCGAACGTTCAAAACTAGCAAAACTTAGATGCAGTAATTTTAAATTTAGTTTAAATTAATTAATTAAAAAATTAAGTTTTACAAAAATTTAAATTTTTAAATTAAGTTTTAAAAAAATTTAAATTTAAAAATTAAGTTTAAAAAAATTAAATTTACAAAGATTTTAATTAAAAAAAAAAATAATTAGACCAAGAGTATTAATTTACTAAAGGTATAAGTATACTCAAAATTAATTTGATGTTTTAATAACGAAAAAAAGAATTCAATAACGAAAAAAATTCACGTTAAAAATTTTGTTTATACGTTTAAAAAATATGTTATTGGAAAAAAATAATAATTAACGGATTAAAGAAAATGTTCCGACGAATTTATTTCAATTTTTTGTCTAAAGAATATTTTTTCCACCAATATAATCAACTTTCAGAAAATATTTCATTAGACAAAAATCGTCTGACAACTTTTCAATTTTTTTTATAATCACTAATTGCAGAATTTTCTGAAAAGAAAAAAAAAAGAATTTACGAATCCAATGTCCATTGAAATTGAATTTGAACAGAAATTTCAAGTTAAGATAATAACGGATAAACAAAACACAACTATATACATATTATGATAATAATCGGTGGACGGGCACTTGTATGTATGTATTGTAACGTATGTAAACAATTATGCCTAATATTATTAATGATTATATTAATAATAACTTTAAAGCATGTTGTGAAAAAAATCGTATAATTGACAAAAAAAAAGAAAAAATAAAGTTATATGTTATACCTGTAATAATTCGACAAGGGAAAAGATTATTATTGAGAACAGAATCGGATTAAAAAAACCGAAAAAAATATATTCATACAAAACAAAACGTACATTGCGAGTGCGAGGTAGCAAAAAAAAAAATAATGATCGTGTAAACGCGGTATAAATAAAGCTATAATTTACAAACTGCTTTTTAATCAGATTTTTCACAAATTACCCTAAAAATTTACTTTTATTTATTTTTTCAACTATATTTTTTAATTCGATTTTATTTTATTTATTATTTATTTATTATATTTGTGAATTTTTTAACCATTATAATTAAAACTTCAGTTATTGAAAAAGTATTAATATTATTAATTTATTACTAATACTACTAGATACTATTTGTATTTTTTTTCTTTATTTATTCATTTATTTTTTCATCGTTTGTTCATTTTCGAAATAAATAAAAAAATAATTAAAGAAATAATAATTTATTTTTTCCAAGTAAACGGGACTTGGATTTTATTAAAAAAAAGTATTATTATTATTATTATTTATTTAGGGGAGAGGGCCATAAGGTGGTCACCCATCTTTTGAACGACTGTAGATTTCAAATGGAATTATATATAAAGGTCAATAATACGGCGTTTGAAACTTTCTCTTATTACCTAACTTCCTATCATAAAGTTTTTTTCATTTCATTAATAAAAAAAAAGTTATGGCACTTTTTAAAAAAAGTTGAAAATTCGACTTTTAAAAAAGTGTCCCCAAGGTGGTCACCATACAAAAATTCACTAAAAAAGTTTTAAAAAATGTAAAAAACGTATTATTAAGTTGTTTATTTAATACTAATTGTTTTTCAGGATCACAGAAACATATTACATATTTTTTTTTGCACTTTGTCCTTTCGTCAAAAATGATACTTTTTGTGTATGTATTAGACAGGTAAAATTTTGAAAATAATTCTATTTCATTATTATTCATCATAAAACTTAAAAATTGATAAAATTCACATTCACAGTGATAAATGTTGATAAATATGGCGTATAAACACATTTTCATAAAAAATCAAAAGTGACCACCTTGTGGCCAAAAAAGTGTCCACCTTAGGGCCAAGACACAATTTTTTAAACGTTAATGAAAAAATGTTTTAAAGCAAAATATTAATTATATTAATTTGGAATATTATTGTACGATATACAAATAAGATAATTATAACGATTTTTACTAATTTAAAATGGTTAATTTCGATGATTTTAACACCTTGAGAAAAAAATTTCTCGATCATTTAAGGAGGTTAGTTCAAAATCATGAATCATAGAGATTCGTTTGAAATTTGCAGCAAAATTAAATGACATATTAATGCATATTATTGTTAAATCTGAGCCTATTTGACTGTATAGTTTTCGAGATATTGACGGACAAAGTTCACTATTTTTCTCAGTATTTAGCATTGAGCTAATGGCCGCAAAAAAAAATGAAAAAAAATAAGAACTTGGTTAATAACTTTTGACACAGCGGAGAGATTCAACTCAAAATTAGAGCAAAATTAATTCAATGTTTAAGCAACATAATACTTCAAAGAGAACGAAATCGACTGTTTAGTTGCAGAGTATTATTTATCCAAAACTTAAAGTTACTTGTAATTTTTTTTTGACGTGAGTGACGCGGAGTGCGTAGCAACATCGCAACTGTTGAGAGCGGTGGGAAGAGAACGGTGGGGGAAGCGGAGTAGCGCGGTAATTCAAATAAAGCTGAGTACTGAAAAATACACTATTTCGAAAAGTGAAAAAAAAACAATTTATTAAATTGTCTCTTCATTTTACATAAAAATATTAATGCATTTAGTATCTTATATTTATCTTTAAAATAAATAAGTTATTAATTAAATAATATGAAATATTACATTATGATTACTGACCAAAACAACACTAATTCGCATGCGCTCGCATCAGCTGTTCATGCCATGTTGCCAGATCTCTAACTGCAAAGCACTACGTTCTTCAAAATATTACTGTTTTTTCTTAAAATTTTAATTATTTACAGATTTTTACATAATAATGTACACAACATTATTTTAAAAAATGATTTTTTAATTTACATATTAAAATTTATTTCATATTTGCCATTGAAAAAAATAGTTATCTTGACTACCGTCGTGAACGTATCCTCCTTAAAAACAGAAATTTTACGACGTTCACGTTACAAAGAGACTCATACGACTATTTACCTCAAAACTTTACTAAAATCTTTGTCTTCTCAAATAATAACAATAACAAAAAACATTTGAAGATACTAACTAATATACAAAAATTTTCTTAGGGTGACCACCTTAGGGCCCTGATCACCTTGGGGCCCTCTCCCCTATTTATTTATTATTAATTATTATTTGGACAGAAAGATTTATTGTTTAGTGCTATATAGGATAATTTTATTTAATTAAAATTTAATAATTTACTTGTATTATTATTTTATTATTTTTAATTGTAAGTTCACAGAAAAAAAATTTATTTTGTTTAATTAACCGTTTACTTGTCTATTATTAAGTAAATATTTACTTAAATTAAATAATTCTTTATTTAAATCAAATAAATTGTATTGGAATCAGTAATTTCAGTATTTGAAGCAAATATCATTTCTTTGACTTAAATAAAAAAATTATTTGATACAAATCAATATTTATTTGATAATAGACCGATAATCATTTATTTGAATCAAATAAATGTTTTTCCAGTGCATTATTACAATAATCATTAATTTTTAAGAAAAAATTGTAATATTAACAATTATTATTCACTATAAATATTAATTATAATTATTAATTTATTTTGATAACTAAAGAAAAATTAAATAAAAAATTATTAATTTTCTTTAATAACTAAAAAAATTAATTAAAAATTTTGTTTCTTTACTATTTAAATAGTAAAATCAATGAAATTATTTTTTTATTTATTTTTATTTCGCCAATTTTAATAATAATAATAAAAATAGTTATAATAAAAACTTTGAAGTAAATAACAAAATTTTCGAAAATGAAACAATCGATGAAAAAATAATTGCAATCTAATATGAGAACAATAAATTATTTCCAAATTATTAATGCATACCATTAATTAAGCGAGCATGAAAATTCAATGTTGATTTATGGTAAAAATATAACAAAACAATTTTGTTGCTTTTAAAAGTCAGAGTGAGATTATTTATTGCAGATAAATAAAATTCGAATTTTGCGTGGAAACAATGAAGCAATTGATTTCTTTTTCGAAAAGTTTTACACGTGTTTACTTTAATTTTACCAAACGTAAAAAATAAAAAATAAAAACAGTAAAAATAACAAAAAATAATAAAAATAACGAAAAAAATAAATAATGAGAATGAATATAACAAAAATGAAAATAATAGAAAGTGAAAGTATTAAAAATAAAAATATTACATGGCACTGATTTTTATTATTTATTATTTTTTTATTATAATTTAATAATTAATTATTATTTCCCCATTTTTTAAAATATAATTATATTCTTAATATATTTATTTATTAATAAAATTATATAATTATAATTTACAATTATTAATTATTTATAAAAATTATAAAAATAGAAAATAATTAAAAAATAATAAAAATAATTTTCTACAAATTTTAATTGGAATTAAATTAAATTTAAGGTAGGTAAATTAAAGTTAATTAAAAACTTTTGTTCGGGAATTGTTTTCAAATTAATAAACTAAAATTTTCAAATACACCTTTAACTTTTCGTAATTTGCAAAAATCAATTAACCTGATTTTATTATCATAAAAGATGAACACGTTTCTAAGAACAGTATAAATAATAATAATAATAATTTAACGCTGCAAAATACTCTTAAATTTTATTTTTAAAATCCAACGTAATGCTATAATTAAGTAAAAATCAGTGCCATATAAATATCTCTAATAAAAGTCAAGAAATAACTTATTTTATGTTCAACTATAAAAAGTTTATATATATAAACATTTCTTCAGTTTAATGACAATTTTATTAAAAATAATAATTATTTAATAAAGCCTAGTAATTTTTCTATATGATTATCATCTTCGTATATATATATATATATATATATATATAACGAATTTATAAATTTTCCCAACACACATTTAATATAAAGTGAAATTGAAAATTATTTATAATTTCATTGAGAAGTTTGGTGTGTGTACTTAAAATTGACTAAAAAAAGAAAGAAAAATAAAAATAAATAATATAATAAAATTCTACTGCGCCTGGTCGTGCGCAACAGTTTTCTTTTCACCATAAAACCGCGTGTTTCCGCCAGTTCTCTTTCGCCCGTTGACATAGAACGCGTATATTATCGCAATTTTCCATTGCTAATCAAATTTATCCAAAGAAAAAAAAAAGTTCTCCAAGAAAATAATAATAAATTTTAATACTATTCTATTGTGATCCAAAGGAATTAATTTGTTTACAAAAAAAAATTTTGCCCATTTTCGTTAAATATACGATTTTTTGAAAATTTTATCAGCATAAAAAAAGTTTTTGAAAGTATAAAAGTAAGTGAATCGAACTTGTGAAAAGTTGTCAAAATTACTTGACTACATTATTTAAATATAATGATTAGTTATTAATTAATAATTATTGATTAATATTATTTATATAAATACGTCAAAAAAATATATATATATAATATAAATAAATATATTTAATATTTAATAAATAATAAATAAATAATAATTAAATAATAATATAAACAAATATATATCATAATAAAAATAAAAACATAATAATAATAATAATAATAACATAAATAATAAACAAAAATTATTTCTCCCATAGATTCATCAAATGGAAAAAAGTCCCGTTTATATGGAAAAATAAATAAAAAATTTAAATTTCAATTAAAAAATAAAATAAATAAAGTGAAAATTCGCATATAAAAAAAATTAAATTAATAAAAAAATATACAAATTGTTTTGTAAATTGTAATTTAATTTAATTGGTAATCCATATAAAGTGATTGCTACTTGAACAATGTGAATCGTTTTATTGCTAATATTCGATAATTTAATGGAAACAGTATCATACAGTGAATTGTGAGGATATTTTATCTTGTGATATTTAAAAAGAAAAAAAATAACAAAATATAAAAACTATTTTTTTAAAGTGTCAGTGACGTAAATGCACATTTGTGCCCGGATTTTTTCTTGGGTATGGGATTTTTTATTCGGTAGCTCAATTTATTCAATGCAACACGTAAGTTACATATTTACAGAAAATATTTTTCTATTTACTATATTTAATTGCCTGTCGCTGTTATTTATTCTATTGTCATATTGTTATGTTAGCTTTATTTTGATATTTTAAAAAAAATGAAATTCACAATATAAATTGTTTATAATTTTAAAAATATAAATGAAAAAGAATTTAATTTTTGTTTATTTAAACAAAAAAAATGTAGGTACAGAATTATGAAAAATTATTTGAGAAGAAATAAATGAAATAATTGCTAGTTTATTTAAAAATAATTTAATTAATTATTAACTTTAAGTTTATTTTAAGTTTTTTATTAGTTTAAATATTTTAGTTTTACAATTATTTAAGAACAAATAAATAAAACAATTGCTAGTTTATATAAAAATTATTTAATTAATTTAATCTATTTAAAGTATATTTTAAATTATTTTTTTTTAATGTGGCAATTTTAGTTTGACAATTATTTACGAAAATGTAAATAAAACAATTGTTACTGAAGAAAATTTACGAAAACTAACAAAATGACTAAATATAGAAAAATTGTTTTTTCAAAAAATTATTGTCAGTAATAAAAAAATAAACACAGGAATTTATTTACATTTGCAAGAACAGTTTTTCTGGTATTTTTTACGATCCCTGTACATTTTTGCTCAATATAATCACTTCTTGTAAAAGGATCTCAATAATGTTGTCACTGTGCTTTGAAAACGTTATTGTTGCAACGTTGAATAAAACTGTTTTATATAGAGTGAAATTTAAAACTTATTTAGAAAAAATTGTTGGTTCCTCTAATTACCTTATTTGTAATTTTATCTTTACTTATATCCTCCAGTATCCCATTAAATGAGTTAATTATGTTATCCGCGTACAAACTCTAACAACTTATACCCCAATAATAAAATTGTTACATCAAGTAATTAAACAATAGATTTACATATAGATTAAGAAACTAATTTCCGAACTATCAATGTAAAAATTCATTAAAAAACTCTTTTTTTTAAACTTAAATTAAAATTACACATGTTTGAGGTAAACCAATACTAATTTTTCATTCCTTAAATGATATTAAAAATTTCATGTTAAACGGTGGTGTTTAAATATTTACTTATTCGTTTATTTATTTCAATAATAAATGAATAAATTTGGTATTTTTTATCTATTTTTTATTATTTTTCCATTTATTCATTTATTCTATTAAAATTGTTATTTATTCATATCATTTTATTTGATTTTCTATTCTTTATAATAAATTTTGTTTAGAATTCAATTTATATAAATATAATTTATTTATTCATCTATTTATGTATAACAATTGAAAAGTATAAACAGAAACAGTAAAAAAAGAATCAATAAAAAGTAGAATAATCACTGTAAAATACTTAATAAGAAATAATTGTCAGTTATATCATTAAATGATTAATGATACCGATATCAATATATGTTTAACAAATTCATAATCAATTTTATTGATACTATAAAATTCTATTCATTTAATGATGAATTAAATTTTAATAGGAATGCATTTACGTGTGGAGAGAGAGATGTCATAATGGATAAACGAAGAGATGTACACATACATATATATTATATTTTCACGGTTAATCTATTTATATCTAGATATCCATCAAATTTTCATACACACAGAAAAATTAAAGTGTCACACATTTGAAAAATAATAAAAGAAGAAGAATTTTTGACAAATGACAAATTTTATATAAAAACAAAACAAAAGAGGGGAAAAAAATGATTGAGTATATTTGTAATGATAGCAATAAATTTATAGTGATCATATATATTTTATTCGCTAATCTAGAACAAAATGTGCTGGTTAATTAAATCGTATATACATCCATTATGATTTCGCTTTCATTTCGAAATGAATGATTCTATTGTTTATTTGTTTGCATCACTATTTGAGGATCAATTTAATAAATACTTTATAAATTCAATTTAAAAATATTAATTTTAAACGCAATTTAAATTTAAATATATATATGGGTGATTCTCCCGAAATACTCCTTTTTGTGAGTTACAAACAGAAAAGAAAAAAAATTATTATTTATGGATTAATGCAGTCAATTATATTGAGCTTTCAAAAATCTACCACCTCTATAGCATGATCATGCTAACTTTTAGCTTTTAAAGTATATATTTTAAATTAAAATTTACAAAAAAATTAAGAGGTTAAAATTTGGAGCCGGCGTTTTTTATTATATATATTTTTCTATTTACAAAAAATTATTTAAAAATTATAATTTATTAATATTATCTATAAATTTTATAGATTTTGAAATACTTACAGTTATCAAAAATCTCTTTAAACAATTGTCAAAAACTATTTTTCATACATTTTAGGTTCACTTTTCACTGGCAGTTTGTAAACAACCGACAATCATATCAATTTTTAATTTTTATTCAAAAAAGTGAGAGGAATGACAATTTCAACATTTTTTAATTTTATTTAATTGACAAATAATTTTCCTCCAGCTTAGAATGCCCTATCATGTTTATAAAGGATAACTTTATGTGAAAAAAATTTGCGATCAATTTATATATATTAATATTGTTTTTATTAGGGGTGAGAGGAATGACGCTTTAGGTTGTGAATCTCTGCTTATGTCTCAATTTTAATTTTTTTAACGCAAAATAATAACATTTTTTAAAAAGTAACTTAAGAAATTAATATTAGAGATGTTAATTTAAATATTGATCACAATAATTAATCAATATCTCTACCCACAGCAAAAATATTGGATAATATTAAACGAGTGAGAGGAATGACGCGGTACTACATGACAAATTTCATTTTCTATATTTAAAAAAACTACACGACATATTTTATTTATATTTTTGAAAATTATTCTTAAATATCATAACTTTTAGAAAAAATTAATAAAGTACCAATTTTCATGTTTTAAATAATTGTTTTACCTATTGAAAAAATGAAAAGCACTTAGATGACAGGTTAGAAAATCGATTTTGAGGTGGTAAAATATTTTAAAAATGTATTAAACAATAAAATTTTACAACTTTTTCTTGCAGAACATTTAGAAAAAGTGATAAAATAGGGAAATATGACTTGGTATTTTCCCAAATGATTATAATTATTTAGAAAATCTTGATTACATGCAAAATGAGATTTTTTGGAGAATCACCCATATATATGCATATAAAATACATTTGTATTATGCCAAAGAAATCATATTTTGAAAAAGATATTATTTCCAAGGAGGATTTATATAGTAGGATTTGTTAAATTATTTCTCATTTCTATTTATTGTTACATAATATATTATTAATTTGTTCAAATCAAATTCAAATTCAAAATTTAGGAAAAAGGACAACCCTCCTACGGTTTTATCATTTTTCAATTTTGCAGGAAATAAATTTATAATTTTTTAAAAATTTATTTTGACTTTTTTTTTACTTTAATATTAAATATGTACAACTATTTAGCTTGAAGTTACACTGCGAGTTTTATTTATATGACTCTCGAATTAAATTTTTTTAAATAAATTAATGAAAGATACACCCCACTCAGAAAAAAAGTTTATTTCACTGAACCAAACTGTTTAATTAACCTATTTTATTTGTTACGATAAAACAATTTTGTTGATTCAAATAAAAATTTGGTTCATTTTAATAAATACGTAATATTTATTTGGGTATCGTAAAGAAAAATTTTATTTGAGGTTGACTATTTCATTTAACCAAATTTGTGTTTTGAATACAGAATATTGTTCAGTTAAATACAATTTGTTCGACACAACACACAAATTTGTTTCATACAGGCTGAGTACAGAATAGGTTAAAAAATTTAGTGTCGAGTGGCGTGGAGTGTACGATAGTGGGGGCAAAACAAAAGAAAAAAAAAAAAAAAGAAATTCGTAACCTCAACTTAAAGTTGAGGTGAAAAAGGTTAAACTTGAAGTAAAAAGTTGCCCCCACTTACCACTATTGTACATTCTACGCCACTCGACACTTAATTTTGTAACCTATTCTGTACTCAGCCACAACCAAATCATTTTATTTGAATTAAACAAAAATATTTGCTTGTCTCAAAAAGTACACGTGTGGATTTAAAAATAACAGTCTCAATTGTCTCAAGTCCGCGTTCGCGTCAAATTTATTATGCAAATCGAAGAAACAAAATTATATAAGTGTCGGTTCAATGAATGTAAAAATTACTATTAAATTTGTACCAGTGAGAAGAATTTATAATTTTTTTTGAATTTTTTAGTTGTGTAGTGACTATGTTTTTAATACGCAGTGGTTATTTTTATAATGCAAATAAATGACGATGGACAAAATATATTTTATTTATACTGTTTGTTATAAATCAATATAAATTAATTTGTAACGTACATAATAAAATAAAATAATAAGTTAAAACACTATAGAAGATTTTTAAACAAACAAAATTATAATATATATTTAAACCGATTATTAAATAAGATTAATAAAATATTTTATTTTATTTAAATAAATTTTTTCTTTGTATAGAACAAAATATTTGGTTAAAGAAACCAAAAAATTTAGTTGAATGCAATAATGTATTTGGTTCATTCGAATAAACTTCTTTCTGAGTATCCGAGTATACTCGGGTTAAACAGCAGGGAGGTTAAATTTATTTTCTCTCATTCTAATAATTTTCTATCACCCGGTAATCACCTGAGTTGTAGCTAGGATGTTGCTAAACAACATCCTGAAGAATCGAAAATTTTATTCCAACTTTTAAGTAGTAGCAGGTCCACCCATACGCTATCAGACAATCAAAATGTGGGAAAAAGGATGATTAAATTTATTTTCTCCAATTCTAACAATTTTTTATCTCCTAAAAATTACCTGAGTTGTATATTATTGTCAATTATTGTGATAATAAATTATTCTTAGTAAATAAATAAATAAATAAATTAGTTATTGTTATCAAATTAATTTAATAAATTACTGAACTTTAAATGAAATAAATAAATTTAAAAAGATATTCAATTAAAAAAATC